CCAAGATCCCAATATTTGGTTCCCCAAAGTATAATTCCAGTCACATCTGTTCCTCTCTCAAAAGTTTTTAAAGGTTCACTTTACTTCTCAAATAAACTGAAGACTCTAGGGAATGATTTCAGGATCCTCTGTAGTATAGCAGCAGTCTGCTTTTATTGTGGGTGTCTACATGTCTAAATCCTGTACTTCTTTTAACTTGAACTAGGTGCCTCATCTGAACCTGGGTGTGTTCTCATTTTAGCACTTTGATTTGTGTATTGCTCTCTAATTAGAATGCTTTCACCTGTATCTCCACCCATCAAAATCCTTAACACCTTGCAAGGGCCTGCTCCTACATTGGACATTTCTGGATAAACCCTCTCACATATGGTTTATTTGTCACTCATCTTCCTGGAATTGTGTGTGTGACTATTATAAGGTATTAGCACATACCATCTTGCATTTTGGTGTTAGGATACATGTACATTCTCTGTTGTGTTGAAATATCTTTGTTAGTGGTGAGCAAATCATACCTATTTTCTCCTTTAGTGAATCCTTCAGAGCCTTACATATAGGACCGAGAACCACATGATTTATAGATTGACTGACTGGTTGAATACATTTTTATTCTTTTGTTTGTTGTTTAGTTCATTCATTCATCTTTTGAAGTAACATCTTAAAAGCAGGTTCAGTTCACATATAAAATATTCCATAGTGTTCTTTGTATGGACCATTGCTTTCACCCAGAATATTTCTTAGCTTTTTTTTTTTTTTTTACATTAAAACATAAAATGGAAGGTTAAGAGTTAGAAGTACATTTGATCTTTTCCTGACCCTCTCCTGACTTTTGTGTGACTTCAAGCATGTCACTTGAACCTCTTACTGACCCCAGCTTTGAAATGGGACTGCCTGGTGTCACAGAGGGATTGTGAAATGCAGCAAATCACTGTCCTTGTCTAAGTGGAATCACCTGCAGGGCTCTGGTGCCTGCATGGGATGATGAGGGACATCTAATTTTCCAAGTCCAGTGGTCAGTCCCAGTGTCTGTGGGATTAATTAGATGACAGTCCTTGAAAATCTGTTAATTTTTATTCCTACTCAAAATGTTTCTAATTTTTATACATTTAAAAGTGTTTCAGATTTTTTAAAAATAAAAAAGCATATCATGGTTCCCTTTTCAGACTTCAAATGTAGCAAGAGATCATTTTAGATATTTTAAAAGAAAGCTGAATTTTGGGGAAAATAAAAGTACTTTGAATTTTTTATTCTATGCTATGGAATTGAGAAAAATTTTTGGCTTCAGAGAGCATTTTGAAAAGGATACTAATCACATGTTAAAGATGACTGTTTGATAGTGACTTATGTAACTCATGCAATGTCTTTATAGCTAGGTTTTTTGTTTATTTAGTGTAGGTAGCCAAGACAATTGCAAATAAGTAGAGCAGAAAACAAATAAAAATACTGTTAGCCACCTTGCAAGCAGAACCTTTTAATGTCATTAATGTATTCTGTAAAATCTTTCAAACAGTGATGCTTGGAGGATTTAATAGATTTCTCAGTATTGTTTGCTTTGTAATTGGGAAAAGAGTCTGTAATAGGAAATTTCTTAGCAATGTACATAGCATGTGCTGATTATCATTCTTTGACTGCTTTGGATTTTTGCTGCTTTTAAACTAGCATTTAAATGGACCATTTGATTAATCATTTGTATACTGACTGTAATCCTCCCAAATTTCCTTTCTGAGTTGTACATACTGTAAAAGACAATTATGTCGCCACAGATTAAATAAGTGAATTAAAACAGAATAGCGGCTTAATTTGACCTGTGATTTTGTTCTCCTTCCCTTTAGTGGAGCGTATGCCACTCCAGCAAATAAATGAAGTCATCCATGACAGCTTGTGATGAATTGCCGTATTTATACTGTATATTTTAATAGCCTCACACTAATTTAAATTGAGTGCGGAGTAAATTATAATTCAGTCACTTGACTGCTTGTATTTAACTTGACAACTCATCCTTATTTGTCCTGGAGGTGTAGTGGAGAGCAGAGGAAATGCACTCAGGTATTTCAGTTTCTCACTTAACCCTTTCTCCAGGAACTGCTTCGTATCAGATTCTCTGCAGTTTGCTTTTAGTGTTGGGAGGTGGGGCGCAGTTTGGGCAAAACACAAAACTGGAGCAGTGCATACTTTCCTTGTACTTGAAAAGAAAAATTAGCACTTGCCATTCTTTTCTCCATTGCCTTCAAGGAGGGAATTGGTCTTGTTTATTTTTAGCATTTTAAAGCTCACCGAAAGAATGCTCAGGGGAAAGGAAATTAACCTTCCACCCAGAGTGCCAGCTCTCCCAGAAAATGGAGAGCACTTGAGTGCAATGTGTTGATGTGGATTTTACTTTCCTCACAAGCTCCAGAAATGACTTTATTCGCTTTTCCACCATTACAGAATCTATCCACCCTTCTGGACTATAATAAATATCGAGAGTGATCCAAACCAGTTCTCTAGAGCACAATGGATTAGCTTCACAGTTACAATACCCCTCACTCTATTTCAGGCCAGTTTGTTTGTTTTGGTGTTCATGGCTTTGGTTTTAAATTTAGTTGTAGAAATCAAGTGATCCATTTCCTGTGTGTCTAGAAACAAGTTCTTTAGAGGATTATGGTTATAAGGAGCACTTTAATTAAATCCCATACCACATGATTTGACGAGTGCTGCTGTAAGAAATATTTAAGAATATTTCTTAAAATGAAATATTAGGGTCAGAGCTAGAGATAAATTCTGGTAAAGGGCTTCTGGGTGCATTGTGGGAGGTGATAATCAATTCAAGCTGGGTCCTAAAGGTCAAATAGGTTTTTAAAACCAACAACTGTGGAGTGGAGCAAGGAAGCACATGGGACTGCAAGACCAAAGACTGGATGTATAGGAAGGCACAGCGCATGTTGTGTGGACCAGGAAAAACCATCTGCGTTCACAGAAGTGGGTTATGGTGGGAGTGGTGGGAGAAGGAGTTACGATAACAAATCAAAGTAGGCTGTGGCAGAACTTCTTAAATGTCAAGCTAGAGTTTTACCTTTATTCTGGGAACTCAAATTCAGGTTTTTGGTCAAGGGAATGACTCAGTGTCAGTAGTTTAGGGTTAATTCCAAGGTCTTGGCCAGCCATGTGCAGTCCTGTCATTTCTAGTTTGATGGCCTAGAGGTGGCTCTTCTGGAGTCATGTTTCTTAGTGCTGCATAAATGTCATTTTTGAGATCTTAAATAAGTGGTTCTTTGTGGGTTAGAAATCACTCTTTAAAAATATAAGATGTAGGCCCAACCCATTGTTCTAGGACAAGCCCTGAACATTGAAAATTTTTAAAGTAACTAGATAATTGTAATGTGAGGCTGGGGTTGAGAACCACTGCTCTAAGACCACTAACTTCATTCCTTTTAACAGAGTTTTTTAGGATAAAAGATTGCCTATGTTTGACATAGTGGTATTTTAGTGCATAGAATTGAAATAATATTAGGCGAATTAATTTTATTGCTAAGTTTTATACAGGAACAAAAAATGTAAGTGAATATCTTTGGCAAATAACCGTTGAGAGAAGTGCTTAAATGTTTCTTGGCAGTCTGTATTACACTTACAGTCTAGTTTAGTGAGAGCGCTCATAAATAGCCCTAAAGCAAACACTTGATACAAACTGGCAATGTCTTTTTCTTTTTTTAACCTTCCCCTCCCTTAAATAGATGTTAGCACTAAAAATGTGTGTCATAGCATGATCATTTTCTTTCCTTGCCCTATCAGCAGTTTACATAATTCCTAATTTATACTTTTTCTCCAATATGATTATATATAGATTCCTCATTTTAATTGAGAATGTAATAGTAGCAGTTTATAAAACTCCTAATTTATGTTTTTTCTTCAGTATGATTATATATTCTTTATTTGTAATAGAGAATGTAATCCAATGTTTGATGGTGTATAACTACTGTCATGGTAACCTTGAATGTTAAGTTTTACCTAGAAACTGCCAAAACATAAAAAATGTCTTCTACCTATTTTATTCCACCACTGGCTTTTTAAAATAAAAAAACAATTTCCCTTGTGTTGGTTTTAACTAAGTAATCAGTAAATTTTGAACAGTTGATGGGTCTTAAAAAAAACCAACCAAGCATTCAAAGCTGGGTAAGTGGCTCAGCAGTAGAGCTCTTGACTAGCATGCTTGAGGCCTTGGGTTCCATTAGCACCAAGAAAGAAAGAAAGAAAGAAAGAAAAAAAAAAAAAGAAGTGTTCTAAGTAAACTAGAATTTATTCTAGGTAAGTTTTAAATTTTTTTATATTTCTGTATTGCAAGTCCAACTCTGGCTGATAGTTGAAGAATAAGAAAAAAAAAAAAAAGCATCAGGAAGTACTGGAAAAGCACAGGAGTTACAGAGGAGAGGAGGGAACCCCACACTGCCTTATAGCAAGGCTTGCTGAGAAAAAGCCTTGGTTTCCTCCTCTCTAAAAAAAAGGAAGTTAGGGGAAGTGAGGTTCCTTCAGCTCTAGCAGCATGAGAGTATTACCCACCTGGACAAAATATAAAGTTGATGTATTTTAAAAATTCCTATTTCTTTCATAAATAACTGAAAACGTCATTTTATTTTTACTTATGCTCTCTACTTACCTCCTAGTGTCTGAATCACTTGACAGTTTTTAAAGGTTTGAGGGTCATTTGTATCTTTCCCTTCTGAAAATAACTAGTGTGGCCAAAATAGGGTGTATAAATTATGAGTGTTATAACTTAACTGACTTTGAAAGCCATTAATGCTGACCTTTGAGACCTGGTATTTTCCATAGTCCCATCAATCACTTCTGTATGGCCTCCCCCAATACAAAGGTTTAGGCATATGTGGAGGCAGTTTGTGCTCCTGGGGAGGGAGAAGGGGGTGAATAGAGGAGCTGCCATTTGTTTTAGTTCTTATATTTTATTATAATTATAGCTATATTTAATTCGAAGGTGAATAAATGTATTAATATTACTACTTTTCTATGTTTAGGTTATACTACTAGATATTACACTGGAACTTCAGAAACAAATTATGTCTGAATTGGAAATTCTTTATAAGGTGATTTTTTTTTCCTGGTCACTTTTACTTGTAAAGTGTGTGTGGTAACAGCTTGCATGTTTTTAACTTTTTTTTGTCTTGTTTTTGTTACAGTGTGATTCATCATATATCATAGGATTTTATGGAGCATTTTTTGTAGAAAACAGGATTTCAATATGTACAGAATTCATGGATGGTAAGCTTTCCCTTTTCAATATTTTAGAAATGACTTTTGGTTTTGATATAGACAGCAAGTAGAATTAAAAGTGATTAAAACATTTATAATCTTAAATCATCTTAGGCTGGCGGAATGGCTCAAGTGGTAGAGTGCCTGCTTAGCAACCATGAGGCCCTGAGTTCAAACCCTACTACTGCCAAAACCAAAAAAAACTTACTAAAATTATCTTAGTGTTAGAGGTTCTTGGTGTTAAATATTTATAGCTGAGCTACAATTTCAGGAATGTAACTTCATTTACTTTTATTGAAAATTTAAATAGAGTAGATTAAAAGTTAGTCTAATTGGTGGTTTGATATTTGATTCTTCTATGCAATCTGTCTTTGCTTGCAAAACAGATGTTCTGTTCTTTTAATGTTTCAATAGCTAAAACAGATTTTCTCTTAAAGAAATCTATTAACCCAATGTCCTATGTCTTTCAGAATGAAATTGGTCCTTAATTGCAAGATAAGAAATTGTTTTTCAACACAGCTGTTTTTCTTTCTTTGGAATTTTGTCCTTTCCTCTTTCTGTATTTTCATTCATTCTATTTTGGGAGCTCTTTCTTGATCTGAATATTTTCGCAAAATACAGATTTCTTGGATCCTGCCAGCGAAATAATGTCATCATTATTTTACATGTTTAGTTCTTTAATGTCTACCCATTAAAATGCAACAGTGGAAGGGGTTGTTACTGTGGTACTAAAGCAATTAGTTCATGCCCTGTAAGTCTTCCATGAGCCAGCATTGACACCTTGATATTATAAGTGTATAATTTATTTCTAATTAGTTATAGTAGAAGTAAAGAACTTAAAATCTTACAACATATAAGTAGTATGACATGGGGGTGACTGATTAGAAAAAGTGGATTCATAGTGCCTGTACATGTTACTGTTTTATTTTACTTTATTTCTTTGGCAGTGCTGGGTTTGAACTTAGGATCTTACAGTTGCTAGGCAGATATTCTATTGCTTATGCCACACATCTAGGCCTTTTTGCTTTAGCTATTTTTCAAATAGACTCTTGCTGTTTATGCCCAGGCTGGCCTGGATCACTGTCCTCTTATTTGTTCTTCCCATGTAGCTGGGATGACACACTTACCATCACACCCAGTTTTTTTTTAATTGGTTAAGATGGGGTCTCATCAACGTTATGTCTGTGCTGGCCTCAGGTCACAATCCTGGTGTCTGCCACCTGAGTACTAGGATTATAAGTGTGAGCCACCAAGACTGACTTACTATTTTAAACGTTCATCATTGTTACTTGGAACTATTCAATTTTTAAGTTACATTAACATATTTTTATTAAGGTATAATTCAAATACCATACAATTTACCCTTTTAAAGTGTACAGCTGAGTGGTTTTTAGTATATTTACAAGGTTTTTCAACCATCATCTGTATCTAATTTCAAAACATTTTTTAGTGTGCTCAGAAAGAACCCTTCTTCCCATTATAAGTCCCTCCTTAACCTTCCCCTCTGGTCCCTGGCCACCACTGATCTTTTCTGCCTGTATAAATTTGTTTGTTCTGAGCATTCCACGTAAGTGGAATCTGATAACATGTGGCCTTTGTGTCTGGCTTCTTTCATGTAATATAATGTTTTCAAGGTTCATTCCTGTCACAATGCACCATACTTACGTGTTTCAATCACTGAATAATATTTCATTGTGTGGCTGTACAACATTTTATTCTTTCTTTAGTTTTATGTTCATTTGAGATTGTTTCTGCTTTTACCATATGACTAATGCTACTATGTGTATTTGTGTACAAGTTGTTATATGGACATATGCTGTATCATTTCTCTTGGCTTTATATCTAGGAATAGAATTGCTAGGTCATACATTAACTCTCTATTTCAATAGCTGAGGGACTGCCAACTTGTTGTATCCCATCTTATAAATTTTGTATTTATACCAACATTGTATGAGGCTTCTAATTTCTCCATATCTTTGCCAACCCTTATCATTACATGTCTTTTTAAAGACACAAGTGTGAAAATGGTATCTTGTTTTGGTTTTGATTTAGATTTCCCTAATAACCAATATGATTAAGCATTTCTTTGTTTGATTATTGACGGTTTGTATATCTTTGTTTGGGAAGTCTGTACTCAAATCCTTGTCTGTTTTTTAAATGAGTTTTAGGTGTTTTTTATGTTGCGTTTTAAAAACGAATTCTTTATGTTTAGTGCTAGGTGATAGGTTCTTACCAGATATAGGATTTGCAAATATTTTCTCCTGTTTTGCTTTCTTTTTATTTTTTTTGTCAGTGCTGTGGTTTAAACTCAGGACCTTGAAAACATAACCCTTTTTGCATTAGTTGTGTTTTGGATAGGGGTTCATGTCTTTGTCTAGGGCTGTCCTTGCACCATGGTCCTCCTGTCTATTTCTTGCAGGTACCTGGGATTATAGTTGTGAAACACCATGCTTGGCTTGCTTATTAACATGGGGTCTTGCTAACTTTTATCTGGGCTGGCAAGTCTGGCTGGACTAATTTACATTCCCACCAACAGTGTATAAGGGTTCCTTTTCCCGCCACATACTTGCCAGAGCTTGTTGTTTTGCTGATAGTCATTCTGACTGCGGTGAGATGGAATTTCACTGTGGTTTTGACTTGCATTTTCTGTATTGCTAAAGACATTGGACAATTCTTTGTGTGTACAAATGGTCATTTGAAAACTGTTCATTTGCCCATTTATTAATTATATTATTCTTTTGATATTTGATTTTTTGAGCTCTGTATATCCTGGATATCAACCACCTGTTGGATGATTAGCTAGCTGGCAAAGATTTTCTTTCATTCTATAGTTTATCTCTCTTGTAATATAATAATTGTTTTCCTTGATATGAAGAAGATTTTTAATCTGATGCAATCATATTTGTCAATTCTTGCTCTTATTTCCTGAGCAATTGAAGTACTATTCAGAAAGTCCTTACTTATGCCTGTATGTTGAAGTGCTCCCCCCTAGTAGTTTCAGAATTTCAGATCTTACATTAAAGTCTGATCCATTTTGAATTGATTATTATAGAGAATGAGAGATAGGGATCTAGTTTCAATCTTCTACAGGTGAATATCTAATTGCCAGCTTCTTTCCTCAGTGTTTTATCATTTTTATTATAGAAATCTGTCACCTCCTTAGTTAAGTTTACTCTAGATTTTTTTGAAACTATTATAAATGGGATCATCTTCCTGATTTCTTCAGCCTGCTCATTCTTGGAATATAGAAAAGCTATTGGTTTTTGTATGTTGATTTTGTGTCCTGATACTTTGCTAAAAATGTTTATCATATATAAGAACTTTCTGGTGGAGTCATTAGGATCTTTTAAATATTTGCAATAGGGATGATAAGACTTCTTTCCTTCTTATTTGTATCCCTTTTGTTTCTTTCTTGTGTTATTGCTGCAGCAAAGACTTCAAGCACCATATTGAATAATGGAGAGAGTGGACACCCTTGTGTTGGGCCTGATTTTAGAGGGAATGCTTTCAGTTTTTCCACATTGAGTATGATGTTGGCCATTGGTTTATCATATATAGTGTTTATTGCTAGCTAGAGCAATAAAAGGAATATAAATAGGTAAAGAAACTGTTAAAATATCCCTATTTGCAGACAACATGATCCTATATCTTAAAGACCCAAAAAACTCTACCCGAAAACTCCTAGATACCATAAGCAGTTTAAGCAAGGTGGCAGGTGGCAGGATACAAAATCAACTTACAAAAATCATTAGCTTTTCTATACATCAACAATGAACAAATTGAGAAAGAATATATGGAAACAATTCCATTTACAATAGCCTCAAAAAAAAAAATCAAATACCTAGGAGTAAACTTAACAGAGGATGTGAATGACCTATATAAGGAGAACTACAAACCTCTGAAGAAAGAGACTGAGGAAGACTACAGAAGGTGGAAAGATCTGCTGTGCTCATGGATTGGTAGAATCAACATAGTAAAAATGGCTATATTACCAAAAGCAATCTACACGTTCAACACAATTCCCATCAAAATACCAATGACATTCATCACAGAGATTGAAAAATCTACCTGAAAGTTCATTTGGAAACAAAAGAGACCATGAACAGCCAAGACAATACTCAGCAAAAAGAACAATGCTGGCGGTATCACAATACCTGACTTCAAACTATATTACAAAGCAATAGCAATAAAAGCAGCATGGTACTGGCACAAAAACAGATACGAAGACCAGTGGAACAGAATAGAGGACCCAGATATGAAGCCACACAGCTATGCCCACCTTATTTTTGACAAAGGCGCAAAGGCATACAATGGAGAACAGACAGCCTTTTTAACAAATGTTACTGGGGTAAGTGGTTATCTGTAGAAAACTGAAACTAGATCCATGTTTATCACCCTGTACTAGTATCAACTGAAAATGGATCAAGGACCTTAATATCAGACCCAAAACTCTGAAGTTAGTACAGGAAAGAGCAGGAAACGCTCTGGAACTAATAGGTATAGGCAAAGACTTCCTCAGTAGAACCCCATCAGCTCAGCAACTAAGAGAAAGGGCGGACAAATGGGACTACATAAAATTAAAAAGCTTCTGCACAACAAAAGAAATGGTCTTTAAACTGAAGAGACCACCCACAAAGTGGGAGAAAATATTTGCCAGCTATACATCAGACAAAGAACTGATAACCAGAATATACAGGGAGATCAAAAAACTAAACTCCTCCAAAATCAATGAACCAATAAAGAAATGGGCAACTGAACTAAGCAGAACTTTTTCAAAAGAAGAAATTCAAATGGCCAAAAAACACATGAGAAAATGCTCACCATCTCTTGCCATAAAGGAAATGCAAATCAAAACCACACTAAGATTCTACCTCATCCCTGTTAGAATAGCTATCATCAAAAACACCACCAACAACAGGTGTTGGCGAGGATATGGGGGAAAAAGAACCTTCATACACTGCTTGGAAATGCTAGCTAGTACAACCACTCTGGAAAACAATATAGAGGCT